GAACATCAAACTTTGATCATACCCCTGCGTTAAAATGAGGCTATTGATGGTGAACAGATCCTTGGATCGATGATTAAATGTTACGTGGTTAATTTGCGATTTTAAGTTATCAGATGATAGGCAAAAAATAATTATTCAGTTCCCGAATGACGATTCACCAGAAAAAAAAAGAGAGGAATTAAAATTGTGTCTAAATGCGACAATGTAAAGACTTTAGCTTGGAAGCACAGTATACTAGAAAAGGAAGGTGCATTCAACAATCTTTTGACCAATAATTTTGACGTATTAGAATTAGTTGCGTATAATTCCTGGCGTGCGTTATAATAGACATAAATTCATCATATACTGTATATTATGATAATGTATATATTTTAGCGAATGAAGAATTGTCTGTTTAACCCTCGCAAATAACGAATAAATTTATAACCGGTTAGCCAATAAATAAGTATATGGAAGAAGTTGGATAATTGTCATAAATTAAAATTGCACGATATAAAGATTAAATAGTAATTTTTGGTAATATTTCCTTAAGTTATAAGCAAGCGTGTTATAGAAAGGGTTTCCATTGAAATTTTTCATCGGTGACGCTATAAATTATTATTTAAGAAAACATCTTTGAGATGAGAATAGATGCAGAGGGACGAAAGGTTTTACCAAAAAAAATAAATTTATGGAAAAGATTAAATCGAAAGATTTGTTAGAATTTAAGCGACATATCACCAAATTATTTCGAATGTTTCATTCAATAACAAGATCAAATCATCTTTATTTATTTTTCATTTGCCATTTCCTTACCACACCAACCATACGACAATACTCAAGCCCACTTGACCCTTTATTCTTTATCCCTAAGAAGCTCTTCACGTCCCCGCCGTCATCACCCATCCCCATGCTTACTTCCCGAACATGATTGACCACCGTCGCTTGATTGGTCCTTAAAATCTCTGCTACTTTGCTAACATCGTTGAATTCGTCGTGCAATCCCACGATAAGTTGCGCTTTTCCTTTTTTTAAAAGATGAGGAAAAATCATGAACCTGTAAGGCTTTAATATATATCTTAAGCGAACCTCTGGAGATGGGAGTGTGTTGGATAGCGTTAAACCTACTCTCGGTGAGTTATATACAACGCAAGATGAAGAAAGTTCTGAGGATGATTCCGTAGGTGACGGATTTTCCGATTTCAATTCATCTTGATAATCGAATTTAATCTTTTTTTGTCGAGAAATTGGAGAAGACTGTGGAAAATAAGGAGATACAGCTTCAGTTTCGGTATTATTTCTCTTCTTATTTGAACCGGATGAATGCTGAGAAAAATAAGGTGAAGCCAAGATTTCGTTATTCTCATTCAAAAGAGAATTATGTGATGATGTTTCTTTAACATTATTCAACAAAGTTATATAAACTAATCCATTCGAGTTTTCGGCATCTTTCAAAATGCCACTTTTCTCCTTCCAATGAATCTCTACCATCTCTCTGATGCCGCCTTTCTGATCAACCCCGCAGCATTCTAAAATCTTATCCACAACCAAACTCGGTCCCTCAATCACCTGGTTATTCGTATCATTTCTAATAGAGCGTATTAAAATTCCTCCATAGATGTTTCTGTCGCGAGATCCGAAAGTGATATCAACTCCTTTTCTGGTTCCACCACGATAACCCACCTTACCCACGTGGTGGAAATACCATTCTCCGGAAGTTAATTGGTGCTCATGTCCGTGGCTATATGGATCGTCATGATCGTGGGTTTCGTCTCGTAAGTAGAATTCTATCTCAAGAAAGGTGAAGACTTGATTTTTGGGAAGGAGGAGTCGAGTGTTGAATAATAAAAAGTTTGCAATTTTCTTGAATGTTTGTTGATAGAAGGAATGGGTTTCAACAGTTTCGGCTTCTAATACGGGGATTATGAGGTTGGAGGAGATTTGAGAATCGGAAGTGGTGAACTTTGACATGAATTGAATGTATTTTGATATTTTGATAGTTGATGCAACCATGCGGTCGATCAAATTTAATAAGTCATGTGCCGACACGTCGAAATAATACTGTAGTTTACGTCCGTTAATACTGTATAAGGTTTTTGATTTTATCTATGGGGTCGAAATAACTTTCTTGATGCGAGAAAGAATTCCTTTTATCTTCCGAATAGTTTGAACGATTTTTTGTGATTTCAAAATTTATAATACATTTTTAAATAAGAAAGAACGCTTGCTTTAAAGCATCAACTGATTGAATGAATGCAAGTTTATTCATGTATCTGCCTAAATCAATAAATAATAATTTCGAACAGTGGACTAAATCAATAAATAATAATTTCGAACAGTGGATCAAGACTTCTTGTAAAGAATTCCAAAGGATGTAATCCTGTTGTCCTCATTACTTCCAAATATTCCAACCAACTCGTGACCTTTAGGCACCTGTAAGTGATGAAAATCACCTCCACTACCACCAATCATTCCGCTGTTCCTCTTGTTTGTCTTAATTTCTAGCGCGTCAAGCCACCATCCTGACCTAACGTTAAATCCCAAAATTTTTTCATCTTTATCCAATGCAAGAATGTATTCATTTGGTCCCCCACTTCCAAAAGTCGAGACTGTATCATCTGACCAAAAGAATTTAATTGAATCAACCCATCTCCCAGACCTGATAATTATTTTCACTAGATACGACTCGGGTGTGTGTGACTCTTTCGGTTTTCTAAAGATTGCCTGAAAATCTTGACCACCTCCTTTTCCTAGTTTTGCACCCTTCATAATTTTTCCGTAACTTGGTATACTGACTTGTTGTCTATCCAGAGATGTCTGAACATCATATAACTCATTTTCCGTTTGATTTTCGGTAAAATCGGTAAATTTCTTATAGAAAATTCCAAAGGATGTTGTAACCTTTTTCGTACTACTTCCAAATATTCCAACAATCTCATGACCTTTAGGCACCTGTAAATGATGCAAACCACCTCCTCTACCACCAATCCATCCACTACTCCTCTTGTTAGTCTTAATCTTTAGTGCATCAAGCCACCATCCTGACCTAACGCTAAATCCCAAAACTTTTTCATCTTTATCCAAGTCAAGAATATATTCATTTGTTCCCCCCTCTCCCGAAGTTAAGACCGTATTATCTGACCAGAAGAACGTAATTGAAGAAATATAACTTCCGAACCTGATAATTATTTTTGTCAGATAAGACTCGGATGTGTGTGATTCGTTCGTTTTTCTAAAGATAGCCTGAAAATCTTGACCTCCCCCCCTTCCTAATTTTGAACTTTTTAGAACCCTTCCATAAATTGGTAGATTAATTTGTTGTTCATCTGGGAATGACTGGACATCCTCTAACTCATTTTCCGTTTGGTTTTTTGCTAAATTGTTATAAAATAAGTAATTATTGATGAGAACATTTTCAAATTTACGTCAAGGCCAAATTTGCTCATTACCTATGACTTTTATTTTAATACGTTCACCAGATTTCCATTTTAAACGGGTTTTTATGTCCAATACTTTTATCACGATATCGCCATTATGCAATCTATCATCAGTATACTCTTCATGGTACCGAAATCTATCATTAACGTAAACCTCGATTAACGAAACTTCTGAGTAAGAACAAATTAGCACCGCGTCCGTCAATGGCCAAAAGTCAGGATGCAAATCTTTGGATTTGGATTTTGATTTGTCTGAAGGGAGACGGAAACAAGGATGATAACGGAACCGAATAGTATCACATCTATGCCAGTGAGCATCATCCTCATCTGCAGGTGTGATAGGTGAGTTATAATTCGGTTCTGCGACCGTAAAGGTTCGATTAAGGTTATTGAACCCTCTCATCATAATGCCTTATGACAATCGAAAGTGAATTGGATAAATTAGGTCAGGAATGTGTGCATAATAAGATTTTAAAAATTCAAATCAAAGATACCTACCTGATGGAGAATGCGGACAAGTTAAAGCGTGTCCTACTTCGTGCAACTTTTATAAAGTGGAATAGTTAATTTACTGTCGAAAATCGAATGAAAAATAAAGAGCATTATCAATTTACCATGGCACCAATTCCAATATTGCAACACTTCCACCACGTTCCACTCTCTCCAACATCATTTGC